ACGTGCCTAGTCTGTATTTAGCACCCTCAGTAATTGTGATCTGTGTTGTGCACAAACTGGTTTGGCAGACCCTAACTTGAGACAGAAAAGCTTGGAATAATCAGGTCTTAACACTGATCAAGTCAATGGAGTTAGTTAGTCAATATATAATGGTAAATATTTTATCTCTTACCTTGGTCTGGATTCATACTTAAAAAATGTTTGATGTTTCATTTTTCAAACAAGAAATTTTAGATCAGTTCAGGGCATTCTCAAGGTAAAGATTTCTGAGTTAATCTATCAGTTTTAATGCTGCAAGAGTGGCATCACCTCTGTCAGGTTCTTCATGCTACCTTCTCCCATCTGCTTCAGTGCCAGCTCTTGACATTTATGCAACTCTCCAATGAGCCAGTACAGCTCCTGAAACCCTGAAAACTTACATCAGGGAAAATGTTTAATGTTTGTAGCTTCTGTTGGTTGATGAACTGAAAAGGCTCGCCAGTTGCACAGAAAAGCACTGGACTTTATGCAAGGGACAGGGTTAAAGTGGGAGTGATTAGTGCACTCTTAAATCAACAGATAGTGAACTATCTGTTCACTGTCTCAGGAAGGAGATGGACTTTAATTTTCCTTTACTGATATACTATGAAAAAATGAAGGGTGTAGTTTCTCAGTTCACTAAGTTTGTTGCATGAGTAGTGAGCTAAGTGCAATAGCCCTACCACTTGTTGGGTAGTAGAGGCACTGCTTTTAAAATTTAAAACATGGGTTATGTATCACCATTACTTTAACATAGCATAAATCAGTACTGCCATCCAAAACCCAGCCCTGAAATATTGTGAATTGTAATCCTAAAGTGGTAGTGTGTGGCACTGGAGTGGGCCAATCAACACCTCACTGATACTGCGAGGCACTAATCCAGCAGGATCTAATGTCTGGGAGTAGAACAGTAGGAATGGAGAGTGGGAAGCTTGATTCTAAGAAGAAAAAGTCATTGTAATGTCACTTGTCTGATATATATTAGAGCAGAATTTGAGTCTCAAGTTATAACTGATGCTATCAGCTAATCAGTGAATTATCACGAGGTGTGGATTGAATTCAAAATTTTCTGAAATAATTTAATCAAGGAACAAATTGAAGAAGAGTTCTGCACTGTAACTGCATTTAAATTTAGCTGTTCATTTTGCATTCATGTTTTACTGAGTGCTACCTTTTTAAGATTCATATTGACAACACATTTCATACCAAACCAGTAATTTAAGTAATGACTTGGACCTACGTTAGCATTCATAACTCAGGATACTGAATCTTAGCAGCAAAGGTGCTAATCAGTAACCATTTTTCTTGTTACCAGTTTTTGTGAACAACTGCTTCAAGATTAATTTAGCCAGCCTGAAGGATTGTTCTCCACAAGGAGGGCACATTCGTAGATCTCAGAAAGAGCCCTGGAATCAGAAGGAAGTCTGAGAACAGAGGGCACAGGGGAACTGAGAGCTCTTTCCCAATCACAGTGTATCTCTCTGCTCCAGGAGACTTTCATTTGACCTCCTGTTCAGGATACTTTCAGGTCTCAGCCTCAACTCAGGGATTACCAGGTGTCTTAACTAGGTAAGCTCTCAGGAACTATGTCACCATGCACATAAAGATGTGCCCAGACCACACCAGTTGGGTTGGTACAGGACAGCAGGTCTAGAGGTGTGCTTCGCCTGCTGGTTTGGAAACTGCAGTGGGAGAAAAGCAACAGTTTCTTGTGAACTGAGGTGTGTGTAAAACTTCAAACCTTCAACATTTTCAACAATCACAGCAGTAACATAGTGACACTTGCAACACATGAGAATTTTCCTCCATTTTTTTATTCCAAATAAACCTGTTAAAATAGATATGTGGCTACCTATAAAGGTATTTTTATTGTTTTAAAGCTTATAATGTTATTTTTGAGATTAAAATGTTTAGTAAGAAAAGTTAGGAAACTTGGTCACAACACAATGTGTTTTGAAAGCAGAATTTTATACTTAAATATGTAACTTCATATTATATGAAGGCAATAAACTGCAAGAGTTACTTAAAAGCAAGGCAGACCAGTTGCTGAAGACAAGCATTTGGATTATGACATAAATTACAAAGAAGTAGTTATTTCTGTAGCACCAGTAACTAAAGTATGATGACTGGCTGTGTGGGCAAGGAAAAACTTGTGGATATTGTGTATTTTGACTTTACCAAGGACTTTGATATAGTCTCCCACAGTACCTTTATAGCCAAATTGGTCAGCTATAGATTGGAAAACTGGGTAATAAGACTGATGGAAAATTGACTGGGCCATCAGGCTTGAAGTGTGGTGATCAGCAGTAGGACTGCTTGACTCAGGGATCAGTATCTGAGCCAATACCCTTAATTCCTCATTAACAGCCTGGAAGACTGATGTGGTTTGGAAAAAACCTTTCCCCCTGGGGCTGGTGATAGTCTCCTCCAGAGGTGGTGTTTTTGATACTGGGCTCATTAAAAACTTCGTGTGCTCTGCGGAAATTACATACTCACAGAATCGGAAGAGAAGAGGTTAATTTTAACTGCGTAGATGGAAGAGAGGCAGCCATGAGTTGAGAGGCCACTTATTAAACGGCGGGCTGGGTGGGTTTCCCCCGGTCCTGACCGTTGGGGCTGGGGGCTTCTTTCCTTTCCCGACCCTAACTCGGTGGGACCTGGCACGGCTTTGTAGCT